ATTTTTTCCAACAGGTTCAACGCCAACATGAGGAGGACACTAAACCATTCACCCGGGAGATGTTTAAAGATGCTTTCAATGATAAGTATTTTCCCAAGAGTATTCGCCAGTAGGAAGAAAGATAATTTATTAAGCTGGAGCAGGGAAATTGAATGGTTGCTGAATATGAGTCTGAATTTACTCGTTTGGCAAAGTTTGCTCCGGATTGGTAGCATCAGAAGATATGAGGTCAATGCGATTTGAGAAAGGACTTAAATCTTGCATAAACTAAGCAGTGATATCGTTTGAATTAGCAAATTACAGAGAAGTGGTTAGCAAGTTACTCTTGGTAGAGAAAGAGCAACCCTTAGATAGGGAAGAGAACAAGGCCCAGTCGAGTAGTCACAAATTTCATGGTGGAAATTTGAAGGGATAGATAGATTTGGAAGGATAACAAACAAAAAATGAGCAATGACCAATGTAGTAATAAAGATCATCACCAAAAGAAACATAAAAAAAATATTTACTCAAAATGTGGTAAGGATCATTGTGGTAAGTGTATTCTTGGCATGGGTCTATGCTGTAGATGTGGAAAGCCTAGGCACTTTGCAAATGACTGCAAGGAAAATTCCTTTGCTAACGATAATGAGCATAAGAAGACCACTCAAGCACGAGTATACTTTATGACTAGGAAAGAGGTTAAAGATGCTTCAACAGTGGTGACAGGTATATACATCCCAATTTAAATATTTTATTTATTTATTTTCTATAACATAATTTAATGGTATATATATGTCCCCATTTATGTAGGCACATTGTATGTATGTAATACACCCGCCATAGTCTTGATTGATTATGGGCTACCCATTCTTTCCTTAGTCTAATATTTTTCGAGAAACTAGGAAGGCTACTTACACATTTGGATGAACAATTTTGTGTGTCCACTCCCTCCGAAGCCGTAATGAGTTCGAATGGTGTTATAAGGGATTGTCTGATAGAAGTATGTGGGAATGAACTATTAGTAGATCTTATATTACTAGAGGTTCATGATTTTGATATCATATCAGGAATGGATTGGCTATCAAGGCATTATGCTACAATCGACTGTCATAATAAGAATGTAGTATTTGAACCTCCAAATCTACCCAGCTTTTCTTTTACAGGAACAAAGATAAAGCCCTCTATTCCAATAATAACAACCATGAAGACTCGTCGAATGATAAATAAGGGTTGTATGGCTTATTTGGCTTCAATTATGTAGGTATCAAAATCTAATCTTCTGATTGAGAATATTCCTGTCATTCGAGAATATTCCTGTGATTCAAGAATATTGAGATGTATTTCCAGATGAACTTATCGGTCTACCATCGAATAGGAAAATCAAATTGCCATCGATTTAGTGCTTGGAACAGCCCCAATATCAAATGCACCATATCGAATGGCCCCAGTTGAACTCAAAGAACTCAAGGAGCAACCCTAAGACCTCATGGATAAAGGATTTATTCGGCCTAGCTTCTCGCCATGGGGTGCTTCCGTTCTATTTATAAAGAAGAGAATTGGTTCAATGAGACTATGTATGGACTATCGAGAGTTGAATAAAGTGACAATTAAGAACAAATATCCACTGTCAAGAATTGAAGACTTGTTTGATTAGCTCCAAAGAGCTGGCTATTTTTCCAAAATCGATTTTTGATCCGATTATCACCAACTCAGAATTAGAGAAAAGGACATTCCAAAGACTGCATTTTGTACTCGATATGGGCATTATGAATTTTTAGTGATGTTATTTGGTTTGACTAATGCTCCAACAGCTTTTATGGATATGATATGGGGTTTTATAGAGTACTTAGATCAATTCGTCATAGTTTTTATCGATAACTTAGATCAATTCATCATAGTTTTTATCGATGACATCTTGGTCTATTCTCATTCCAAGGAGGAACATGCATGACATCTTCGACTAGTACTTGAGAAACTCCGAGAGGAGAAACTCTTTGCGAAATTCAAAAAAGTGTGAGTTCTGGTTGGATAGGGTACCATTTTTGGGACACATTGTGTCGAAAGAAGGGATAACTTTTGACCCAGGCAAGGTTGAGGCTATCCAGACCTGGTCGACATCGTCCAAAGTTGGAGAAGTGCGTAATTTTCTTGGGTTAGCTGGTTATTATCGAAGATTCGTTAAAGGGTTTTCTAAAATTTCCTCAACATTGACTTGACTAACCAAGAACATAAAGTTTCAGTGGACATCGGATTGCGAAGAATGCTTCCAAGATTTGAAGAAACGTTTGACTTCAGCACCTATCCTAACAGTTCCAAATGGGAATGAAGGGTTTGTGATCTATAGTGATGCTTCAAAAAAAAGGTCGGGTTGGGTCTTGATGCAGAATGGTAAAGTAGTTGCTTTTGCCTCTAGACAATTAAAGAATATGAAAAGAACTACCCAGCTCATGACCTCGAGTTGGCAGCTGTTGTCTTTGCATTAAAAACCTGAAGGCATTACTTATATGGAGCTAGATGTGAAATTTACTCTGATCACGAAAGCTTGAAATATTTTTTCACACAAAAGGAGCTGAATATGAGGTAGTGTTGATGGTTAGAGCTTGTCAAGGACTATAACTGTGTAATCAACTACCACCCTGGCAAGGCCACTGTGGTAGCTGATGCACTAAATAGAAAAAATTACGATTCTATAACTACCCTACAGACCGTTCAAAAGCCATTGTTGATAGATATTCAAAAGCTTGATTTGGATGAAATCACGATTCATCTGGCATGACTATTAATGTTATCCTTGAAACAAAATTAAAATGATATTATCATGATAGGGAGTTAATATGCATTGCATTATTTTTCTCTTGATCAATGTTTTGTTCTGTTGAATTTTTTCAACAAGATTTTCAACGAGACAACTTTTGTAGCGTATTGAAAAGATTAATATATTTTTTCCCCTTCATTAGGATATGTTCCACACGTTTTTCCTAATAAGGTTTTAACAAGATATATTTTTTGTATGATGAATGTCTATAACATATAAGACATTCACCCTCAAAATAACAACTCTTATATACACAAATCTCTTGAAGAGTTCAACAAGAGTTATTTTTTCGAATTATTATTTTACTACAATTATCAAGTTTTATCCTTCCGGATTTTCTTGAAGACAATGACATACATTGATATACAAGATATGGATCATTTGATACAAAAAATTGAAATTAGTAGGAGTAGCTGTTCTATTTTTCCTTCGACCGAATTTTGTTCCATTGAATTTTCTTCACAAGATTTTAACAATGCAGCATTTATTTTCTTCAAACTACTTTTATTCTTTTTTCCCCATATTTGGCATTTTTGTTCAATCGAGTTTTTGTCAAATAATATTTCAATGAGATAGTTATTGTGTAAATAGTCATATAAGGGGAGTGTTGTAAATATAGTATTATTTATGAATGACTTTTATATCCCTCCAGCACTAGTCATTATTACTATTGTATCCCTTGTAAGTTGTAACCCTAATTCTTTTCTATTAATAAGGATATTTGGTTCATTTCTATTAATACAGATATTTGAACCCTTTTTTGGAAATTTTGCTACATCTTGGGTGGGTTTCAACGGAGAAAGTTATATTTTGAAAGCTAATGCTTATTACACGATGAGTAACTCCTAAAAGTTTGATAAATAAAGAAATTTAAGTGGAATCAAGAAGAGCGGGTAATATTAAGCCATTATTTTAATTTTTTTTATTTACATACTCATTTTTAACTATATATTCATATAATAAAATATTCTCTACGTAAATTTAAAACTTTTTCCTACTTTTTAATTATACATTCTCCAAAAAAATCACTATTCAAAATTCAATTTTACTTAAATAATGATTGTGAATAGGGGCCTGAATTGTTTAAAGACCATTGAAGTTATCAGCATCGTTGGATTTTGTGCCTAACGAACATAATTTGAAGTCCTTTTTTATGAAATAAAAGCAACAATAGAAATAACATGTCTTAATATCGACGTTAGTCGCATAAATATTGATTATAATAGTGAAAACTATGCGATAATTTTATATTCAACATTGACTGGGGAGATCTAAATTACATCTTGATAATACCACTATAATAAATAATAGAGAAATTTCAAGAATGTTGCTTCAAAGAAAGCTAACGAGAAATATCTAAGAAAGTAGAGAAAGTTATGGGCCTGTTTGGGCTCAATTTTTTCACCCAAAAATATTGATTTTTTGACAGTTATTTCACTATTTCAGCCGTTATATTTGACCCAATTTTTTCACCCAAAAAATTGATTTTTTGATCGTTATTTCACTATTCCAGTCGTCATATTTAACTTCTTCTCTCACAGGTGGACCCCACTTTTCTCTTAACGGTTAAAAAATCAATTATCAAAATCACTCCCAAACAGGCTCCTAGCGGTCAAAAAATCAATTATCAAAACCACTTTTCTCATCATTTTTTTAATTAATTTTGAAATGTATAAAAAATTAAAAAGAATCGATTTGTACAACATTCCTTCATCTTTATCTCACTTGACTCTTGTTTTGTTTGGTTCTACTAAAAATAATTTTAAGAAAAATGTGGAACAGTTATTTTTGGAAGAATGTGTAGTTGACAAAATAATAAATAATTTAAAATTTATATGTAATATTATTTTATGAAAAATTTTTAATCTAAAAATTTCTTAAAAAATACAAATTTTCTAAATTGGAGCTGCTTGAACAAAAAATGATCGTAATTCGTAAGGTAGCACCTTCAAGCTTGAACTACAAAGTCAACGGTCAACCCCACCGCCGGCATCTGCACACGAAATGACAAGAGGAATGTGCTATTTGCACAGGGTCCTGTGCACAGGGTGTGAGAGGGGGGGTGGACCCCACAAAAAGTGGGGTCCACCCCCCCTCTCACACCCTGTGCACAGGAGCCTGTGCAAGAAGAAATATCCATGACAAGATCACCCTTTTGTGGCGCCCACTAAATCCGGCCGTAACCTACTTGGCAGTAACCTACTTGCCATTACCACCCCCACGTCGTAACAAATTTTATAATTTTCACACACATTCTTGATTCACCTTTCAAATTCCAGCACGATTTCAATCTTTGCCCTTCCCATTTCTTCATCACCGCTTCGCATACATATATATTTATTGATAATACTCATATATACAAGTATAATAGCATACTTCAGGAGAAAAAGTAAAGAAATTTTGATAAAGAAACCGAGAAATGGGGGTGGATTATTACAACATACTAAAGGTAAATCGGAACGCCAGCGAGGACGACTTGAAGAGGGCCTATAGGCGTTTGGCCATGATTTGGCATCCGGACAAGAATGTGAATAAGATTGAAGCTGAAGCTAAATTCAAGCAAATTTCCGAAGCGTATGATGTTCTAAGCGACCCACAGAAGCGTCAGATCTACGATCTTTATGGAGAGGAGAGTCTCAAATCTGGGCAAGTCCCACGTCCTTCAAGAAGCGCAAGGGCCCACCCGGGTTCTTATTATAATTACGGTAGTAATCAGCAGCATCCGAACCCGAATTTCCGATTCAATCCCAGGAATGCCGACGATATATATGCGGAAGTTTTTGGGGAAAATAGTAGTATTGGAGGCGGTGGGGCGAGAAGGGATGGGAATTTTAGGAGTTCGACGATGAATAGTGGTGGAAGTAGGGAGTATTCAGGGGCTGGCGCTGGTGGTGCAGCAGGAGGGTTTAAGAAGGCACAGCCGGTGGAGAATGTATTGATGTGTAGCTTGGAGGAGTTGTATAAGGGTGCTGCCAAGAAAATGAAGATATCTAGGAATATTCTTGATGGTCACGGGTACGTGCTGCTTTTTCTTTCCCTGATAATTGTTTTCTAATTGTTAGTGTTTCACACTATGGAAGATATCTCCATCACCACCCACACACTCTCGCAAAACAACAAAAGAAGACTGGTGAAGTAAAAAGAAAGAAAATTTAGATTGACTAGATTTTTTTCAAAATCAGCTTGAAGTATCTAATTGTCAGAATCGCTGTTGATAAACGTACTATCTAATTGTAAATATGACTATTTATACTGTATTATAAGGTTAAAACTTGAAAGTAATAGAATTCCTCATTGGCTTGTTGTTGTTCTGCTTTAGTTTGCATTAGCTTTTATGAATATCAATTTAGAGTGTGAGGTTTTAAGTTTTATATTTCAATGATTGTAATGTAGATGATTTCTTCTGTTGAATTAGTGGATTCTAGAAATACTTGCTAGTGATCTGGAGCCTTTGCATTCGTTTGGGGTCTTGTTTGAGCTAGTTGTTTTATCATATACTATATTGTTTGAACTTTCATCTTTAAAGTTATGTTTCGTTTGTTAGTACTTCCAGGATTTTTGTTTTCCAGAAAAAAAACATATGAGTGTTTAAATGTATGATATCTTTAATTGGTCTTTCAAGACGTGACAGATAATAGTAGAATACACCATCTAGGATAGTTTTGGAGTGGCTTTTGCTGGGAAAGCATGTTGTTTCCTTGGATGTCATAGTTATGGAGAAGTTAAGTGGATTGTACACAACTAATCTGGTATACTTTTTCAAAATAAAAATTTGGACTTTTTAAGAGAGTTCAGATGGTACCTTCAAAATAAGGAGATTCCATGTAAGATGGCCTTTGCACAATGTCCCTGCGAGTGTTTGAAATAGTGGATGTATTTATTAACCAGGAACTAGATGATTGAGTTCATCGTTGTTTAGCAACTTTTCTGTTGTTTCCTAGTTCATGGATTACGTTGCACCATATTTTGCTACATGATGTAGTGTTTAGAGATAGATACAGGGTCATTTCATCTTGACATGGGTTCAAGAAAATCATTACAAAAGAGATGACTTTTTTCCTTTCATGCTGATGGTTGTTCTAAAGGGTCTGAGTTTTGAAAGAGTTCTTTGCAGGAACTTACCTTTCAAAAATAGATACTCCCTTCGGAGATATTTGAAACTTAAGTTATATGTAGCAAGATTTTTTATCCTGTAGTCTGTTGTGATATGAAGTTGGACATAATATATGTACATGCACAGAGACGTAATAGATAATACACCTCTAGCTGATACTCTATGTTCACACCTGAAAAGAGAGAAGAAAATTATACTTGTCGGTTCGTCTTCTGCAGTTTGTACAAATAAATTTACTAATGATTCTGGATTTTATTTTCTGGAGTTTTGTCTCTTGTTTCATTGATTTGGGATCGTGGTATTTGACATTATGGATAGATATATGATTTTTCCACTTCCACTGGATCTTCTGAGAAGAATTCGTTCTTTAAGATAAAAGATGGGCCACAATAATACAATATTATCCATGTCCATGGATAAAAAATATTGAATATTTGTTTGGAAGTGGTTCATGACAATGTTAATTTGTTGTATTTGAATACTTCTAAACTAGAGTTAGCAAGTCGTTAAAATTTATCTCTGGGTTTTCTTGCATTAGAGTCACAGTGCAAGTGGTATTAGGAGAGTGTTGGTCTGCACATACCTTTGTGCCCACTTATTTTGTTACAACCAGGGCCTGTTGGCCCAATTTTTCTAGCGCCTCTAAATACCCTTCTATTTAGATTCTCAAGTCTATGTTGCAAGGGAAAGCAAATCTATTAACTCCCTCTAATATAGCTGGGGCTTAATACTCAATCCAAATTCTATATTTAGTGTTCTTTAATTACTGAATCAATGAAAATATCTTCAATAAAGCTAGCTATAAACCTCATATCTTTCTCCAATGAAGTCCAAGAATATTCGGTAAAACATGGAAACTCTGGGTTGTCTTAGTTAAAGTCCAATAAAATCATGCTTCTTTCCACCTTCAGCTTGCACATAGTACTACAAATCACGTGTTTAAGTTAATTTGTTGTATGTTTGGCACTTTGTAATGAGAAATTCATAACATGCCCTGGTCCTCTTTTTTTAATCTATTGATGCTGATCTTTGGCTCCTGTTCCTCCTACCGCCTCTTGTTTTTTGACGTCTCTTTAAAAGTGGTTGTTGCTTTTTGCAATATTGAGTTACTTCAAATATCATGTGCATGTTTAGCAGTTTGGGAAATTTATTAAGTTTCTTATAATTTAAAGTCAAACTCAAACTTAATTTTAACAACATATATACCCACTTATTAACCACACATTTTGTGGGATCCATTACTGTTCATTATAATTTCTATAGTTTCTCCCAAACAAGCATAACGTTCCAAGATAATTTAAAGAATTGTCTTTCTCGCACATTCCATATTTGTTAATTTGAGGGATACATGTTAATTAGATTCTACATTAATGAGATTGATTGTTGGTACTGCCTCTTCTCCTGAGGATCTTTGGCCGAATTTTTCTCAAGGTGTTGCAGAATAAGTATCTTTCACCTATAGAGTTGATCTTTTCCTGTTTCATCTGCTGTTCGATAATAGAAATGCCTGCCCATATTGTAATGTCTTTGTTTAGGTTATTCCCCAAGAATAGGAATGTACCCCAAGAAGTACGGAATGTTCTTTTTGCTCTTTTACAATAGTTCACGTGGTTAATGCCTATATGCCTTGTCCATGGAACTCTCGAACGGTTGAGCAGTAGATCCTTTATCTGGAGGAGTGGAACAAAGTAATGCTTTGGGAATCATGGTTATTAAAAGAAAAGCAGTATATCCCTAGTATTAAAGAATTCCTGTCAATTTATATGTGCTTTTGGTTAACAAAATATTAATGGGGACCATAGGCACCTTGAGGACAAAAGAGGTATTAATATTACTCCTTAAATGCTCTGGTTAATGATATTTGTGAAGCTTTGGTTCATATCTGGAAAAGAACCTACAGCATCTATATTAGAAAAAAATAGATCGATGTAAAGAGTAAAAACCGTACATGCTGCATTGATCGTAAATTTCTCTGCCTTGAACCTCACGGTGTAATGATAATGGCAGAATGGTAAAGCTGTTTTAGAGCATGATCTTTCTAGCAAAAGAAGTTAATGAATTCTTCAAACATTGTTGTAAGGTCAAAGGTTTCCTTATGATTTTTCCTAATTCCACTAGGATATATTACTTTAACAATCCATTTATGCGTTCCCTTTTGATTATATGTCTCTTCAGAAATGTTTGATGCAGTTTTTCTCGTTACTCTATTCTCTTCCAGCAAGCCGCACGTTTTAGAAGAGATCTTAACTATTGATATAAAACCAGGCTGGAAAAAGGGCACAAAAATAACTTTCCCTGAGAAGGGCAACGAAGAACCTGGTGTGATTCCTGCAGATATTATTTTTGTGGTAGATGAAAAGCCTCATCCTGTATATATGAGGGATGGTAACAATTTGGTGGTGAAGCAGGAGGTATCTCTTCTTGAATCTCTTACAGGAAAAAATTTCGAACTGGTGACACTAGATGGAAGGAATATCACAATCCCCGTACTAGAGATTATCAAACCTGGACATGAGGTAGTTGTCCCCTGTGAAGGAATGCCAATTTCCAAAGAACCTAGGAAGAAGGGGAATCTGAAGATCCAAATTGACGTCCGGTACCCAACACGGCTCACTGAAACGCAGAAACATGAACTGCGGAGAGTTTTGGGAGGGAGCTCGCGATAACGTCTTCCAAGTTTTATGCTTGACAACATTAGCAAAGGTGGATAATGCAGGTTTTAGGTGTAAATATGGTACATGCTTGCCATTATAATATGTGAATAGTAGAATGTGTTCTTACTATCCAAGGATGGTCGATTTCTGGTCTTTTTTTGGCGAAGTTCAAATGCCTCTTGCCGAAGAAAGTGGTTATGTATATACACAAGTTCTATGAGATGTAATACCCCTACTGACTGATAGTAGACCCTTCTTTTGTTGCTGGAGATTTTTGTCGATCATATTCTATAATTTTTACCTGAGATTGATGAGTTAAATTTTGCCTGCCAAAAATTGTGGGAAAATTGTGGGAGTGGAGAATATATATAGAGCTAATTTGACCTGCAGAGAGAAATAGATTTTGCAACAGCGATTTTTTTAGAGAATGCGTGGTTAGAAAGTGGAGAAAATTTTTGAATTTACGTGTAAAATTACAGAATTTGTAGTTGAAAAAGAGTTTTGAGGAAAAAATTCATTATTAGAGAATGAGGCTTAAATAGGGCTCATTCTTTTTGTTTAGTTTAGATAAGGAACTTGCATTTTTTTTTTGTAGACGATCATGCGCGGCTACTCAAGTAGCTTATTGCGTATGCTTACACTGTAACACATGGCGTAGAACAACAAATAAATAAGAACGAGATTGAGAAAGAAATATGAAGGGAAGATAAATTTAGAAGATGGAGAGAATATATAGAGAGAAAAGTATGAGTCTCTTTATATGGGATTTAAGCTAGTCTAATTTAAGTAGAAAAATATTAAAAAAATTTATTAAATAAAATTTAATTATGTTTACTAAAATAAGTAAAGAATTTGAAAAATGAACATCTAATAAAATGATTAAAAATCTATTAAGTAAAACAATAATTAAGTTTACTAAAATAAATATCTAATTTGAAAAATAAATTAAGTAATATATCTATTAGGATTCTTATTATTTCTCTCCAACTGAAAGAACTCGACTTTAGCGAGATAAACTGCAATTTCATTCCTTTAAGAGGTGATCTTTTCTCTCAATCATATGTCGGTACTTAACTATTGACAACAACATACTGTTGAACTCATATGAAAAAAGACGATCTTTTTCGTTCATTATGACTGATGGCAAGATTCAAAAAGTAGCATATTGTACAATTCATTCATAAAAGTTTCAATCGGCTCCACATTATGAGGAGCACAAGATACTAGCATAGTAGACTCACGTGCATAAAGAAATGATTGCAACATTGATGATTTGAATGTGTCCCAATAAGGAAACAATTCTACTATAACGAAAATAGAACTTTCATTTAAGCGGAATATTTCCATGTGAGCGAGGACACCAAGCTAGATATTGGAGAATTCGTCTTATTACAAAATCTACATATTTTTCCATCTATTTTTTAATAACTAATAACAATCTAAACGAAGACAATGTAAAAAAATTCTTGCTGACTGATTTATTTTCAATTATTGTTTTTTTCTTTTTCTTTTTTTTTTTTAATTTTGAAAATTAAGAATAATAATGAAAAAACCAATCTTGCTTAAAATTCTACTTAACCGGTGGATAGTTTCAACAGCAACAGAGAATATTTTTCTGGATAAGCAATCACCCCTTGAATGGTATCAATGAACAATATTTTTTAAGGTATTGATATGGTGAGGTGTTGTTTGAGTGTGATTTGTTTATGGATTTGGCAGGCAGCTACAATAAAATCTTTGAATTCGAGCACCAGTTAAAACTTCGCGGAATTTGTTTGGTAAAAGGGAAATGACTTGCTTTGGTACCAAATCAACGCAGAATATAATTGAACAAGAACAAGATTGAGAAACAGAGAGGAGAAAGAGTGGAAGAATAAGGAGACTTCAGAAGGAGAAAAATATTTAATTTGTTCAATTTCAACTTCTAACTATTTCAATGCATAAATTCTTAGTCTAATTTAAGTAGGAAAATACTAAAAAATTTATTATATAAAATCATAATTATGTTTTCTAAGAAAAGTAAACAACTAATAAAATAATTATAGTTACATACTTACATTTCCTAAAATAAGTATATAATTTAAATAATATTTCTACTAGGATTCTCGTCACTTTTCCTTCAGACAACAATTATACAAGTAATATTGTTCCTTCAGCACTTTGTCTCATTTATTTTAGTTCACAATTTCTAACATGGACCATGGTCATGTCTTCTGATGCAGGACACTGAAACGTCATGTTGAATAGGTGGTGAGGTTGAAGGTTCTTTATATATACAGAATTCAGCAAGCTTATACTGTATGAGGAGAACCAATATCTGACGGGTGCAAGTCAAACATTGCTGAGAGTGATCATATTCGTACCATCGCATTAAGCTATTAATAACCCTAAACGCTACCAGTTAAAGATGGACGTCTCAATCTGAAGAAGCGTATGACTAATTTTACTCATTTGTGTCGTTTTCAATCCTTCCTTGGGCTGGAAACGTCCAATCCCCACTTGAAACGCATCACAATGATCTTGTTAGAATTAATAATCCTGCTATATGTCCATATCAGGGGTCAAGATTTAATTGGCAGTTGGACAAAAAACACAGGGCGACCAATTAATGCAGTCTTGCCACCTTTACATTTGTAAAAATTCCTGTACATTTCTCCTGTACAATGAGTTTGATTTTAGAATTATATGTTTATATTAATAAAGTTTTGGGTCCCTTGGATGTACTTATTAGTTTCATTTTACCTTCTAGTCCAAGAAAAGCAGTAGATATTCATCAATTTCATGATTTTAGTTCCTGTTAACTCCTATTTTCTTTCAATGACATGAGCTAATAGTTGTTGTTCAACATATTTACTCCAAAACCCAGTGTAATTTTTGCTGGTTTTTTGAAGTTGTAAGGCTAACTTGTGCTATGCACCTGAATAAAACATAAATTAATTAAATGCTTAACCTAGCATCCTTCTAGCTCATTCTTCTCTGTTGCATCATGCTGTACTATCATCCTGGATGTCGTCAAAAAAATATTAACATTCTTCCAGGTAGACACAACAGTCTTGTCATATTCTTAGTCCTATGGCCAATCTAAGGTACTAGAAATGGGGAGAGCCCTTATAATATAGTTCTCTTTAGCTATAGTTCCGATTTCTCTTTTATCTTGGTCCTATCTCTCGGTTGTTTGTCATCGAGATTTAAAATTAGTTTGAAGTCGGTCATCTTCAAGATTTCTTGTTGCTCATTATGATGGTCTATTTCTAGCAAGAATGCCTCTCATTTGAGAACTCCCACTAGACAAAAATTTTGCAGGTAGTTCTAGCATCTTCATCTTTGATGAAGAGAGGTAGCCGTTTAGGATTTAAACACTTTCTTGATCCTGGTGTTTCAAATAATATTAAAAGCAGCTTCAACCTTAAACACTGATATCCATATCATAATTCTTGCACCAGCAGCCTTAAAAGTGAAGGGAGAAATGAATGAGCGCGGGAGAATGAATCAAGAACACAACCCCGGCACAGCTACTAGAGAAACCCTCAATCCACTCTGAAGAAATGTTTGATTACAAATAGAAGTTGACAAAAGGAAATAAAACCCTAAGCAAACACCCTTTAACGGCATTACAAAAAGAAAAAACCAGACCAGATTCCTACTGAATGCCAACTCCAGTGGCTAGTCCGTTTTAGGTTGAGAATCTACAATATGCAGAGTACAAACATACAGAATATAGAGATTACAAAAAAAATAAAATTCCCATACACCTGAAGAAGATAAAAACTCTCATGTTGGAACAGTAGGATAGAGGAATCAGGTGCCAGGGTTTCAGGGACGCGCTACATTTGAGGCACAAATAGCTTAAATTACAGTGAATTACGCTGATCGTAGGTCCTAATGGCAGTTCTTGGCCTACCAAAGTTCTCCCTTACTTGGTTGTCCTCTAATGGATAGGATTCCCAGACACCATCCCTCCAATAAGTGTAATATACTTGCGGAATGTGTGCAGTTTTATGGTGATCGCCATGCAGCTTCACTATAAATTCATCTGGCATATCGAAAAATTCAAGAACTTTTATATTGATAAGGTTTTCGATTCCAGTTGGAACGCTTTCTAGAAAGTTGCATCGCTGAATTATTAACTTTTCCAAATGAGGCATTGCTCCATCCTCGACTATTACCTCTCTTAGAGGTTCCAACTTGTCAAGATCTAACAGTCTAAGCCTTTGAAACTTTCCTGCCTTGAAACGCAGTTCTTCTCCAACATAGCCCATAAGAAACTCGAGATGGACTAAGTTTGGCAAGTCCTGGAGATACTTGAGTGGGTTGTCTCTTAACCGACTCCACTTGAAAAAAACTTTAACCAAGCTTCTGAGAGATTGTATCCAGTGCGGAAATTTTTCCAAACGCCCTGTTAAATAGAGCCGCTGAATGGACAAAGGGGGAGAAGACATTTGATGCAGATCAAGAATCTCATCCACTGCTGTTGTAGTAATGCTTAATGTGCGAAGATTTTGGAGGTTTTCAATGGATGAACAGAGGGCCATTCCATCATCTGTTCTCAATTTGAGGATACAAAGCCTTCTCAGTTCCTTCATCTTCCCTAGCTCTTTTAATATGCCAGTGCCAGGAGACACATCAACAAATGCGAGTTGGTGTAAGGATGTTAGAGCTCCCATTCCCTTTGGTGGCTTGAAACCAAGTTTAAAATCGAAAGGAAGGTACGAGTATTCCACAGAATGATATACAATGATATGTCTCAGATTTTGAAGTTCTAAGATCTCATCGGGTAGCTCTGTAACAAGAGAGCGCTTAAGATCTAATGTCTCTAGCATTCGAAGGTTTCTGATTGATCTTGGAAGCGATTTAATCTTTGTATGTCTCAACCTCAGATACTTCAAATGAAGGAGTTTGGTGATTGGCTTTGGGAATGATTCTAGAGGGGATCCTGACATATCCAAAACTTTGAGCATTCTAGAGCCATTGAGCAGTTCATGCATTGATGACATGGATTCTGAGTCAGTAGCACTGAATGCAAGTAAAGAACGAAGTTGAGTGCCACACCTTGGAGGTTGAGTTTTAGAACAAGAACCATGGATTGATAAGCGACGAAGTTTGTGGATCCAATCTCTGGTTTGCTCGTTTGCTGTCATCACGAAACTTTGGTCTCTTGATTTCAATACAAGCATCTCCCGGAGAAAGTCGTGGATGCGGCAATGTTTTACACTTCCATCGTCATTGGACCTTACCATAAGGATCATGTTTCTATTGACAAGCTCATTTAGGTAGCCTTCTGCTACTTCTTCCAGCGTTCTTCCTT